AGTGGTGGAGTCCCCATCCCTGGAGGTACTTAGAAGACGTGTAGATGAGGCACTTAGGGACATGGTTTAGTGGGCATGGTGGTGTTGGGTCGACGGTTGGACTCGATGATCTTAGAGGTCTTTTCCAACCTCAATGATTCTATGATTCTATGATGCCATATAGTTAGTGCTGATGGCTATGGTCCTTGATGGTTCTTAGTTCCCAAGGTCAAAGTAATCTGTCTTGTGAGCTCTTTGATGTCATTACTGAAGTGAGCTTGTCTTCGTTTTTCTCCATGCTTCCTCTTCAGACTTGATGTTTTATGTTATTTTACCCCCTCCCCCCCTTAAAAAAGGAGGGTCTCCTCTTCTCTTGATATTACTTGCCTTGGGGCTTTTTTGTGTCTTGCCAGCCATTCTTCTTCAGCAATATGTCCTTGCCTATTTTACATGCCTTATGCTAATCTTGTCCTTTGGCAACTTTTTGTTACTTGGATGATGTGCAGCTACACCCATCTCTACACCTTTGGTGGTCACATTGTACACATACTCATGTAAAATGCTTATACATTGTGCCTGGCTACACTCTCACAGTGTTCTAAAATACTTTTATGCTACTGTTGGCTATACTGTTTTATTCCCCTTATAATTGGATTCACGGCAAGCTCCTATTAATTATATGCTGATCAGGGCACTTGTCATTTATAGGTTTCACAGGACTTTTCTTTTGAGAAGTTAATATAAGCTTGTGTTCCAATAGAATATTTTCAGTATCTTTTTTGTTTGTTTATGGTTATAAGCAGTGCCTTCCATTTTTTTTAATGGTGTGTCTTAGTCCTTGAAGGATATTGAAGTAAAGACTCTGCCAACATGTTTCTGTCATAGTGGTCACATTGTACACATACTCATGTAAAATGCTTATACATTGTGCCTGGCTACACTCTCACAGTGTTCTAAAATACTTTTATGCTACTGTTGGCTATACTGTTTTATTCCCCTTATAATTGGATTCACGGCAAGCTCCTATTAATTATATGCTGATCAGGGCACTTGTCATTTATAGGTTTCGGAGGACTTTTCTTTTGAGAAGTTAATATAAGCTTGTGTTCCAATAGAATATTTTCAGTATCTTTTTTTTTTTATTCCCCTTATAATTGGATTCACGGCCTCCTATTAATAATTATATGCTGATCAGGGCACTTGTCATTTATAGGTTTCACAGGACTTTTCTTTTGAGAAGTTAATATAAGCTTGTGTTCCAATAGAATATTTTCAGTATCTTTTTTGTTTGTTTATGGTTATAAGCAGTGCCTTCCATTTTTTTTAATGGTGTGTCTTAGTCCTTGAAGGATATTGAAGTAAAGACTCTGCCAACATGTTTCTGTCATAGTAATGCTTAATAATAATTCTGTCATAACAATGGAATAATAATGTTACATGTTTGTTCCTATGTTTTAGTTCCATTTTTTTGTAAATGAAACTCTTTTTTCCAATGAGTTATAATTGTGTTGTCATTGTCCCAAAATGAAAGACATGTAATTTGTGAAGACTACCAAAGATATCTCCATTACTCCAGAAATTTATTTTTAATTAAAGGAGCAGCTCTAGCCTTGTACTTAAAAACTTCACTAGACAGCTTCAAATCTTCCCCATTCCTCTGAAGAAATTACTTTTGTGTATTTTAGTTAACAGATAAGGTCAGAATGTATAACAGAAGCTCCATATTATGTTTTCTCATTACTGGTTGGCCACTGTCTATCTTGCAGGCTGTTTTAGTATCACTGCCTGGTTTGTCCCTCACCTCCAGGCCTTTTAAATCCTTTTTTCACACTCCGTTCTTTTCCTGCGGGCAGCTCCATCCCTCACAGCCAGTAATTATCTTTGCCATTTCCTCCTACTCATCTGTCCTTTTTTCCCACACGTTTTCAACAGACATGGTAGATGAGTTCTGCCTCTCTCAACTGTTTTATCATCTGCAAATACAGGCATGAAGAATAGTCTCAGCTGGATGTAACACTCTGCATTCTACTGTACTTTTACTCAGTAGTAAAATACAAGACCAAAGAAATTTCTACAAACTTTCACATTACATTTTCATTTCCTGTTTTCTTTCTTGTTGTTTTTTGTTTGTTTGTTATACGCAGTGTCTCTGTGCACCTGGATGGACAGGAGAATTTTGCCAATTTGCTGAAAATGCATGTTTAATTTACCCAAATAATTGTTCTGATGGAGCAACCTGCATTGATATGAGCCAGCTGAGAGAGCAACCTTTATTTCAGTGTTTGTGTCCTCATGATTTCACAGGTAAGGCATACACAAATCATACAGAAGCTTGTAGTTTTATTTTGTTTTAAATATTCAAGTATAAGAATGCTGAATTTTCAAAAATAAGGAATAGAAAAGTGTCTGAAGGAGTAATCTTTGCATTTTCTGCCCTTTGCTCTGATGCCTACAAAATCTAAATCAAACTTACAGGTTACTTTTGAAGCTTCCACATGAAGGTTATAGTAAGAATAGACCTAGAGTAGGCTTCAGCTTCAGTTTAAGAGACTAAGTGTATGTCTACATGTAGAAGTTTTGCATGTGAGCTAGACGTCTGCCTTCTCATTACAGTTCCTGGAGATCTAATTAATGAAAGCAATAGAGCCCAGGGAGTTTGTTAGTTTGTATCAGCCTGTATTTGTTCAGATAACTTTAGTTATCTTTCCAATAACTAAACTCCTATTTTAATTCCTTGGTGGACCACCAATGACTTACGCAACTTAATTTGGGGCTGTGTTAACTGATTCACTTTACTTGACTTTAGAAGTCTAAAGTAATATGAGACCTCGTAAACAAGTCTTCAAGGCTCTGTGTATCATCAATGAGTAAGCATTTTCAGAGGGAAATTAAGACCACCTGTGTTAGATATGTTAGTGGTTGGAACACTTTCTTCAGGAGTGTTTCTCTTGTATTGGCTACAAAAGAAACCTAGAAAAATAGCTTAAACACATTGGTTTTTAGCTGGCAAGGAAAATAATTTCTGATTTCCTCTCCAGCCTTACCCTTTAAATAGAAGTTCATTTAAGTTGGATTCTACAATCCTTCACTAGTCTTTGGTCAGAGAGGGCACTGAAAGAGAAGCATTGAATGTGATTCTCTCCAGTTTTAGGTAACATTAAGGAAACAGATATTAGCCATATGTATATCAATTTAAAGATAAGTGTCAAAAAGATTAACACAGTTTAAAAAATAACCAATTGAAAGATAGAAACTTAATATTTATTACCTAAAGAATGAAATTAATTTACTTTAAAGAAATGCTATTAATACACAGAGGAAATGGACTTTAAATCTACTGCCATTGAAAAAGAAACCCCAGACAATATTGACTAGCTCTCTTTTCACTTCCATCTTACCACCTGTATGATTTTCTTTTTTCAATCTAATTTTGGGTTATTTTTTATTGATGTGACAACCAAAACTATCAATTTGTTAATAAAAACAATGTTTCACTACAATACTTCAAGGCTTTTGAGATACTAGTAAGGTCTGTGCAATACAACATAATCATAAAACAAAAGTGTGACAGGCTATAGTAAACAGCAATAAATGTATGCAATTAATACAGTTTAACCTTACTAAACACTGAGTTATGACTGAGTTCAAGTGGAAGTGACTTCAGTCTTCAGGGACATCTTACTATAAGGTCAAGATTCTTTCCTTTGTGGGATCTCATTGTAAGAGGTTCTTTATACTGTAATTTTTTTTTTTTTTTACTTCTTTCTATTTTTAAACAATAACTTACTCCTTCATTCTTGTTCCATATCATTTTTCATTTATACCTGTTTATTGTTTCATTTATGTGTCTGGGAAGGGAGAACTTACTTCTTTCTATTTTTAAACAATAACTTACTCCTTCATTCTTGTTCCATATCATTTTTCATTTATACCTGTTTATTGTTTCATTTATGTGTCTGGGAAGGGAGAGAGGGAAGGACAATACAGTGGGAATTTTGGTATGTTTACTTGACTCTGAATTAAATCTGCAAGTAAGTAGAAAGGTTATTGCAGTTTCACATCTAATTGTTCTTAATTGTGTTTATAAATTATAAACACTACAGCTGCAGCCTTTGCATTAACATTTAAATCATATTGGAGTGGACTTATCTTAAGGAAAAGAAAATATGATGTAACATTCTCAACTGTGAAAAGCAGAACTTTGATTTAAAAATTAATAAAACCATTTCATTTTGGTTTCATCCTCTTTAATGAAACCTTGGAGAAGCTTAGCATATACACACAAATGCAATTTTAAACTACATTTATTTCTGTTTATATGTAAAATACATTTTGGATAATTGACTTAGAAAAAAAATCCATGTGCTTGGTTTAAACTCTTAAAGGAGACAATAAAAAGGTTATAAAATATAGTTATTTTTGTTGAATAGATGTCATGACTTCTGTGGTTTTGATTTCCTTCTACAGTTAGTTCCTTATTTTCCTTTTCCTTTTTCTCTTCTCTGAAAGTGGATAAAAACCTTTGTATCTATAACAGTGCATATAAGTAACATGGCTTATGACATTGAAATGAAACAATCCATGTTAACGATTTCTCAGGTTTTGCACAGTAGACCAATTGTCCTTGAAGAAGATTCCTCTAATTAATTACTATCTTTTCTTGTGTGTAGAGCAATCATATTGGCAGGAATCGATTGGGCATATTAGACACTTCATTTAGTTGGTAGAAAAGTCCTTTAATTAAAATAATCTTACAGCTGCTAAAATGAACTGCACCCCAAGCAAACTCACCAACCAGAATTTAAAGTATTATTTGTTACATGCTTTTTCTTCATCTTCAAACTTTCCTTTTAGAAGATCATTCACAGGTTTATCCACAATTAATTTTTTCTCTTTCTCTCTGTTTTATTGAGTTGAGACAGGGCTGCTAATTTCTATGGGTACATGGGAAATGAATATAAACAGATTTGGATGAAGCTTGCACTATTGAACTATGTAAGTGGTTTGAAACAGTCTTCTGTAGAAAGAATCTCTGATGTAGAATAGCTAATGTCCCAGAGAAGATGATATAGGATATAAAAGTTCCTATATCTTTCACAATCTAGTTAAGACAATGTTTATAGCAGTGAACAAAACAATGACACGGCCTAATTTAAACCATTCTATCCGGTCAAATCCACATTTTTAAATTCTTTTGCTCTCCAGAATACAGTTGTGTCATGGCTTAACCCCGGTGGACAGCTTAGCACCACACAGCCCGTCGCTCACTCTCCCCAAGTGGGGTGGGGGAGAGAATCAGAAGGGTAAAAGTAAGAAAACTTTTGAAAGTTGAGGTAAAAACAGTTTAATAGGTAAAGCAAAAACTGTGTGCACAAGGAAAGCAAAATAAGGAATTCATCCACTACTTCCTATTTGCAGGCAGGTCTTCAGCCATCTCCAGAATATTTGGGAAGGTCTCTATTTCATGTTGAAGTACAGTGGAAGACTTATAAGTCTCAAAACTTAAATAGATAAAAAGAACAATAACATTTCTTCCACAGCTCTATTCCCTGTACTAAAGGTAAAGGAATTTTCATAGTCATGGGAGGTCCCTATATCACAGGAGTGTCACTGGAATTACACAGCAGTATGTGTCTCAGCAACACATGCTGTCATTTTAAGCTTTGTTCATTGCACTTTATGTGTTATTACTGTTGTCGCCTTTGAAAAAGAAACTGTTAGTGCACACAGATTCCAAATATCAATGACCATGGACTGAAATAATGGAATAAAGAAGTCACCTGCTAAGTATTACTAGAGGAGTTCACTCAGAATACTTATCTTCATTAAATGAAGAAAAAAGGAACAGCTAGCTGCTTCGCAGAGGATTCAATTTTCTGTTAAAGAACTTTCAGTGATAACTGACAGAAAGCAAAAATAACAACCAAAGTAATTCAATCTCTAATACTCTTCAGCAGATGTCTAGAAATGTTTCCTGCTGTTTAAAATGCCTTTTAGAATAGGGCATGGCTGAATAGCTTTAGTTAGGGTGAAAGGCAAATTGTTTTAGCTAGGGCACTGGTTGTTACAAAGATCTCTTACCTAAGAAGGTACCAAGCTGAGTTACCTGAAAACACAATGGTTCCACTCCATCTGGAGCATTCCACTGGACTAATTGAGATAAAAGGATAGAGAAGTATGCAGTCCAAAAATAAAAATAACACATTAAAACATGCTGGCATATTTATACTGTAATTTTTTTTTTTTTTTTACTTCTTTCTATTTTTAAACAATAACTTACTCCTTCATTCTTGTTCCATATCATTTTTCATTTATACCTGTTTATTGTTTCATTTATGTGTCTGGGAAGGGAGAGAGGGAAGGACAATACAGTGGGAATTTTGGTATGTTTACTTGACTCTGAATTAAATACATCTGCAAGTAGAAAGGTTATTGCAGTTTCACATCTAATTGTTCTTAATTGTGTTTATAAATTATAAACACTACAGCTGCAGCCTTTGCATTAACATTTAAATCATATTGGAGTGGACTTATCTTAAGGAAAAGAAAATATGATGTAACATTCTCAACTGTGAAAAGCAGAACTTTGATTTAAAAATTAATAAAACCATTTCATTTTGGTTTCATCCTCTTTAATGAAACCTTGGAGAAGCTTAGCATATACACACAAATGCAATTTTAAACTACATTTATTTCTGTTTATATGTAAAATACATTTTGGATAATTGACTTAGAAAAAAAATCCATGTGCTTGGTTTAAACTCTTAAAGGAGACAATAAAAAGGTTATAAAATATAGTTATTTTTGTTGAATAGATGTCATGACTTCTGTGGTTTTGATTTCCTTCTACAGTTAGTTCCTTATTTTCCTTTTCCTTTTTCTCTTCTCTGAAAGTGGATAAAAACCTTTGTATCTATAACAGTGCATATAAGTAACATGGCTTATGACATTGAAATGAAACAATCCATGTTAACGATTTCTCAGGTTTTGCACAGTAGACCAATTGTCCTTGAAGAAGATTCCTCTAATTAATTACTATCTTTTCTTGTGTGTAGAGCAATCATATTGGCAGGAATCGATTGGGCATATTAGACACTTCATTTAGTTGGTAGAAAAGTCCTTTAATTAAAATAATCTTACAGCTGCTAAAATGAACTGCACCCCAAGCAAACTCACCAACCAGAATTTAAAGTATTATTTGTTACATGCTTTTTCTTCATCTTCAAACTTTCCTTTTAGAAGATCATTCACAGGTTTATCCACAATTAATTTTTTCTCTTTCTCTCTGTTTTATTGAGTTGAGA